TATATATATATATAACACTGAACATGTTTGCTCCTTCCATTAGAGCTAGCTTATGTACCCGCTAGTGTAAAGCAATACATACCATATAAATGTACGGAGTGCATATCGGAGTGTAAAAGTTTGTTGGTGCTCGTACTTAAAAGGCAGGGTGTGACCGATTGAGACATTTTAAAACAAAAAAAATCAGATTCGCAGATGAAACCAGATAGTACCGTTGCATACCTTAAATATCCCGTGATCAAATCAAACTTGCGTAACATAAATCTAAAACGAGCGAGAAAGGCCAAATAACATGCTCAAGTCTTATCGCTACTGTGATATCCCATTCGATGCTTCATTTGTAGTAGAGAGTTGGTATGGTCAATCCTTAAATCGCCACACTCTTCTACACAAGCTGGTCTCCTCGATTCCACATGCCAATAATTGATCAGTACACTTATTGGTGATATTTATGTTAATCCTATAGAGTAGAATCGAAAGTGACAACGAAGTAGAAACCATACGATTGTTTAGCAAAAAAAATATCACGAGAATATGCATTTATAACTATACCTATACTGTGGACGTGAATGCGAGTATATCCGTGCTCGTACGCGTTCATATGCAGAGGTCCATATCAACGGCATCTACTACGCATGAAACAACGGGTGATCGGCTAACGACTAGTGAGAACTACTATGACCAATGTTTGCTTGATTGCTTCGCTGTATGGTATTCAATTCTCCTCGCCTTGTTGGCTTGTTCTGGTTCAGTTGTTCTCCTACATAGCCTTCTATTTAATATAGACATTAGAAGGCCGTGTCTCCTTCCAGTAAACTTTTTGACATACCGATACCAATGACGTCACACTCTTTCGTCGAGATCTACATAGCTTCCAATCTCCAAATCTGCACAGCCAATACTCGCCCAGAAGTTTGGTTGCGACTCGCAAGTCGCAACTCGCCTATCGCAACACATACATTCGAAATGCACGTCTCTAACAACAGACATTTGTTTCAACATGAATAAGCACATTGTTATACTTATTACACTCGTTACCCTATACAACAGCATTGGTGCGAAGAGTATCAGTGAGGGTACTGAGGAGATGAGGAGAAATTCACTTGTGGCAAGAACAACAGCTTTAATAGTGAATGCCATGCAGGTTTTACGCTCGATGTGCACAGACCTTGCACTGACCATTCGTGCACAAGATCACGATGCTGTGAAAAGCAAGTAGCGGAAACTGCTACGAAAATGGCGAAAGTGAATATACACCCGTTACTATGCGGCGATGTATTCGAAGACGACAAAGAAAGCTATACCCTTAAAGCCAATGTTGCAGGCAAAGGGGAATGCACGGATATTGAGTGCTACCATTTCCACGAACCCACAGTTTATTGTAATGCTGGCTATGGATACGGCTGTCCTATCTATACTACTTTGATGGGTGATGCGAAATGTGGACCGTCTCTGGCAGACTGTACAGACGAGATATGCTGTGCACCTGATTTTGTCAGAAAATGAGATTGTATTGGACTCGCAGGGATTCCAAAAAAAAATGCTTTATGGTGGAGATGAATGCTGATCAAAGCCTGTTTGTGAGTGCAAATATGAAAAGAAAATACACGCATAGACAATGGACTTTTGATAGTGTGATCGAATTTCAGACATAGACCCCACATAGAATAATTGAGCGATATGTAAGTCTTGGGTATATCGAGGCCATCTCCTCGACGTACATGTCGAATTTATAGTCTTCAACCCAAATAAACAAAAAGTGAAATTTGATGGAGCGAAATATTATATACACACACAGAACCACACACACATATATATATATATATATATATATACACAACCACACACACACAC